CTAAACCCTAAATCCTAAGCCCTTTATCCTAAACCCTAAATCCTAAGCCCTTTATCTCGGATCCTGGCCCAGGGTTTGGAACGCCTACTGCTCGACATGCTTTTTGGCGCGGCCAGACGTAGAGCAGGGTTAAGCTTAGGTAGGGCTTTGGGTTTACGGGTTAGGGTTTAGTGTTAGGGTTTAGGGTTTAGGGTTTAGGGTTTAGGGTTTAGGGTTTAGGGTTTAGGGTTTACGACCAAATGGCCCTCAAATGTAGGCCTAAGGGTCCAAAGGACACAATAATTAGGTACTCGGTTTTAGGATAATAGCTATGTAGGTTAGGATTTTGGAAAGTGTCTGACTATTAGGTACTTGGACCCTTGGGTTTAGGTAGGGCTTCGGGTTTAGGGTGTAGGGATTTAGGGGGTAAGGGCTTAGTGGTCAAGGGTTTAGGGGTTTAGGGTTTAGGGGTTTGGGTCTCGTGTTCAGGGTTTAGGGTCTAGGGACTACGGTTTCGGGTCTAGGGTTTAGAGGTTCAGGGTCTAGCGGCTTAGGGTTTAGTTCAAGTTATGTAGGCTTAGGGGTTGAGTACCCTAGCCCAAAAAAGTCTAACAGTCTAACCTTCTGAAGTCTAGTAGGATTATAGAACAGAAATATATATATATATACACATATTTATATGTATATGTATATATAAGCCCAGAAAGCTTTAAAGATTTCCTACTCAGCCCCGAAGAAGTGTTCATGGTTTCGGAGTTTAGGGTCTAGAGGAAGGTTTACAAGGGATTAAAATGTTTTTCTGCTGTTTCTATGGGATCAACCTACGATTTTAAAGCCTGCTTGTCCAGGATCCAGCGGAACTAAAAGTTAACCTGCGGGATTATGCAGGGAATTATAGATCCCCAAAAAGGTTAAAGGTTACCTACTCTACTACCTGGACATCATTCAAGTTCTATCAGGGTTAGGATTGGCTGTTTGCGGGTGGATGGTTAAGAGTTTGGGGTTTAGGGATTATGCAGGGGCTGTTTCTATAGGCGTTTCTTATCGGGATGTCTGTGATGTAAGGGTGTCTATCGGGGTGGCTCTTGCGTGGGGTTTCTACAGGGGTTTCCAGTAAAGGGGTTTCCTGCGGCTGATGATATATATATATATATATATATATCCTGCATTACGCAGAACAAGGAATATACCATTATTCCCATAGTTTAGGGTCCTTAAGGTAATGCAGGATTGATATCATCAACAGTATGAGCGGTTCTATAGGACTTGAAAAAAGGGTGCACAAAAAGAAGGTTTAGGAGGCAGAGCCCGAACCCGAAACCCTAAACTCTGAGCAATATGCCATGGAGCTCGGTTCACAAACCCGAACGGTGTAGGGTTTAGGGTTTATTTAGGGTTAGAGTTTAGGGTTTATTTAGAGTTTGGGTTTTAGGGTTGATTTTTGGTTTAGGGTTTAGGGTTTAAGGAGAAAAACCCGGCAAACCGCCAAACCAAAGGTCAGAATGCAAGAACTCTATTATGGCACCCTAAACCCTAAACCCTAAACCCTAAACCCTAAACCCTAAACCCTAAGATAAAAAACATGTGTTCAGGCCCTTGATGTTAAAGCTCTGGTTCCAAGTCACATCTGTTAAAGTGTTAGATTCTCTTAAGGCGCTTCCGTTAAAGTTGTGAAATTCGGGTTTCGTTGTCGGCCAGGACCGTGCCAGACGCAACTAAGTCAAAACCTTGGACCTCGCACCCCAGCACAGAACTCTGCTTGTTTCAGTCTTAAACACTAAACCCAAAGCCCGTAAACCCTAAACCCTTAACCCTGAAACCTAAACCCTAAACCCAAAGCGGGTTTAGGGGCTTTAAAGTAGAGTTTTAACCATGGCATATATATATATATATACTTGCACTACCCCTAAACCTAAAGTCAAAAGGCTACTTACGACTATCGACGGAGGGCTTACCCTAAAAGTTCAAGTACCTGGCAATCGTAAATTCCCAAAATCTCCCCAAAACCCTTACAGGGTTTAGGGTTTAGGATCCTTACCTTCAAGCGACTCCTCTGTTAAGGCTTTTGGGCCCGAAGACCCTATTATGTAAGGCGTTTGGGCTATGTTGATGCTTACGGAAAAGACCCTAAACCCTAAACCCTAAACCCTAAACCCGCATTACTCATGTCCTCAACCCAGGTACCCGATTTCTGGGTACGTTGGGGCCTTAAGCCCCTATGAAGAGGGTTTAGGGTTTAGGGTTTAGGGTTTAGGGTTTAGGGTTTAGGGGTGTTCCTTCTGCGGAGCCTCCTTAAAACCTGCATTAGAAAGTTTGTTTATGAGGTTCTACAAACCCTACGGAGCGCCTAAACCCAAAGGCCCCTATGCCCCTAAACCCTAAACCCTAAAAGCCCTATAAATCCTAGACTATAAACCCTACAAGCCCTAAACCTGAAACCCTAAACCATGTAAACCATATAAACCCTATAAACTCTCCATTAGCCGTATAAACCCTATAAGCCCTATAAGCCCTACACCCTAAACCCTCTAAGCCCTATAAACCCTATATTAGCCGTATAACCTGTAAGCGCTTTAAACCCTATAAGCCCTAAACCCTAAACCCCAAACCCTTTGGGCACTCTAGACCCCGGGGCCTCGGGTTGGACTTGAGCAGAGAAGTGAAAAGGGAGCAAATGCCTTAAGGACTATAGGACCCTTTAGGGTTTAGGGTTTACGGTTTCGGGGGTTTTGGGTTTAGGGGTTTAGGGTTTAGGGCTTAGGGTTTAGAGTTTAGGGTTGTAGGGGCCCTATACGCTCATACTCTGTGAAGAGGGGGCCAATACCTTAACCATAAGGGTCCGAAGGACCCTATAATTGGGTACTCAGGTTTCGGATAGTAGTTATGTAAATTAAAACTTGAGGGAGTATATATGATTTTTTAAGTACTTGGACCCTTAGGGTAACGACTAAAGGACCCTTAACAGTATCCTCACAATTGCACCTAAACCCTTCGAGAGGTTCATGTCGTCCTTAAATCAAGATTGCTTGAAGGCTACCAAAACCTTTAACAGCACAAAGTTACTGTAAGGGTACAACCCAAAAGTACTATAAGGTTACTACACGGGTATGGAGACGTTGTCAGTATAGGGGTACGATAAGGCTACTCAGCGCCTTTCTCAACATTTACCATTCTGTATATACTATGAAGTTTGTGATACAGATTTGATATTGTATATAATATTGGATCATATAAGTACTATTAAATTAAGCGCGGAGGGCGTTGGAGTGGGCATTGCCTAGCTTCGGGTTCAGGGGCGTATTGGGGGTCAGAGGGTTGAGTTAAGTAAAGTAAGGTTTCTCGTGGTTCCATAAGGTTCAGGGCTCAGGGTGCAATTTTGGTTCGATTTTGTTTTTTTGGGTGTCGGGCAAGTTGGATATGTGCCGGGATGCTGTTCCTGAAACTGTCTGGACCTTTCCAAGCATTATTTCAGAAATTATCGGGCCAATACTGTCTGTACAAGACCTGTCATGCACACGGCTCAGCATTGCAAGTTGCGGCCACAGGCAAAACTTTCGAAATCTGTTGTGAACTTTGGTATTATATTTATTTACCCTATAATTAATCTAGCCCGAAACCGCGTATACCGGCTTGCTGCCGAGTCGTGCAGCGGGCAACTAGCCGGGCAGCTTTGAATCTATCTAACCGTGAGACGAGATCCACAGATCGGCGGGAACAGATGATTTCGCTGTAGTGGGGCAAACCCGAGTCGGCTGCAAGTGACCTGCGCAATGCTTTCGAGCACCCGAGCAGGTCTCTTACCCAAAGGGTCCCAAGTACCACTATCGCCTAAATTTACAGAGGTTCCTATATACGTACTGTAGGGCCAAATTTTCTACGATCTAACGCTAATGGCCCATGTACCCAAATAGTATCTACATTGACCCGAAAGTACTTATGTAATGACTACTGTAAGGCCAAGGTATATCTATTTGGGAGCATGGACCCTCAGGGTAAGTAGATGGAGCCTAGAAGGTTCTTGATTGGCTCCGTGGCTCGTTGATAGGTTTAATTTGTTAGGCTGCCAGAGGCTAGGGGTCAGGCTTTAGGCTTTACGGTTTAGGGTTTAGGGTTTAGAGTTCAGAGTTCAGGGTTTAAGGTGTAGGGTTTAGGGATTAGGGTTTAGGGTTTTGGGTTTAAGCTTTCGAGTTTACGGTTTTGGGATTAGGGTTTAGGGGTTTGGAGCCAGTTGAAGGGAGCCTCAACTATTCATGGCCGGCTTCCTATGCAAGACCCTTCACAATGAGAACCAGCTGTTTGGAGTACAACAATTCGGATGTGCTTTTTCCGGCATCTATCCCAGAGGGTACCCCAAGAGCAGAGATCTACATCTAAAGCTCCACACTCTCACTTTCAGTGGCGGGCATTTGGACCCTCTGGATGGATGTAATATATTTATAGTAATACTACTAATAATAATAATAATAATAGTACGAATGAATAACAGAAATGATAATGATCATGCCACTAGTCATAAAAATAATAATTAACAACAACTTGAACCGAACCGAACCAAGAGTGGCCAAGAACGCCGCACGAACAACGAAGATGCGCATGTTGCTGGTCCATAGCCTCGCAGGTATACACCCTAGTACGGTTTCCGTAGCACCCCCTAAACCCTCAACTCTCAACCCCGCTACCAGCCCACCCTGACACATCCCAAACCGACATTACTAAACCCTAAACCCTAAACCCTAAAACCCTAAAACCCTAAACCCTAAACTAAAGAAACAAACTGAAGCTCGAAGCCACGAGCTCCCATTGCCGCCTGACATCGCCCAAAGAGCCCAAGTACCAAACAATCATACGGTTCAGGGCGAAAGCCCTGTTCCATTTCTTCGCTCGATCCTCCCATCCCACAACCCTAAACCCTAAACCCTAAACTCATGATAAGCCCTAAGCCACCTGGCCGAGTCTGCAACCTGAACCCTAACCACCAAGAGCCGTAGTTGAGCAATATTATGCATAAGACTGGTTTAGGGGTTTAGGGGTTTAGGGTCTAGGGTGACACACCCTAAAACCTCCAAAAATACCAAACCCTGCCAAGAACCCTAAGAACCCTAAGCCGACCGTAAAAAAAAAAAAAAACTCCCTAAACCCCAAGGCTCTTCCAGGAACCCCCCCAAGTTCGCTTTAAAGGTCTCTGACATTTCTCATTAAGAGGTGGCTAGGGGCTACAAGAAAAGGGTTTCGGGCTTCGGGTTTTAGGGAGGTGCGAGGCCTGTTTAGATCGATTTCGACCGGCGGTGCTGGCAGGGCGGGCGCGTGTCAAAGTGGAGGAAGGTCCGAACCACCGGAAGCCTCGACAAGTCGAGCGGTGAGGTGGCAAGAAACCTTTTTGGTGTCCGCTTTGCAAAGGGTTTAGGGTTTAGGGTTCATTGCTTCTAATATACTAATACAGCAAGAAGAAAAAGGTACAATCACAAACAAGAACAACGACAATAACAACACTAGTAACAATAAGTATATTAACACAATTCCGATGATTGGTGTCATTAGACTTGCGAATAGTATTGTACAGATGTCGCCTTAAAGGGTTAAGGGTTGAGGGTCTAGGCTTTGAGGGTTTCGGGCTTTCTGGTTTCGTGCTTAGGGTTTGCACAACCCTTTCTTAACCCAAGAAGAATTGCACCTTAAACCCTAAACTCTTCGTAGCCCAGGCCTAAACCCTAAACCC